CGTGTGCGTGTGCGTGCGTGCGTGCGTGCGTGCGTGCGTGCAGGTTCCTTTGAGATTATTGCTAACGGCTATCCTGAAATTGAAGCTGGCACACGAGACAACAGTCGACGACAAAGGAGTATACTTCTTTGCAAGTGAAAAAGAAAGAAGAGAAATCATGTTAGATCTATCTAAATGAGAAGTGGCACGAGAGGAAGAAAAGCCGGGACAATCCAGCATATGACCGCTATATAATAATAGGTTGTACACCAGATACTTTTGCGTTTTATAGAGCTGATCTTATAAAGAAAACTGCTCAACACTGCGATTGTAAATCTGAATATTTGATAGTTCATTTCTAAAGAGGCGAAACTAATTAAATGCGATACAGGTATACATAAAGGAGAATAATAATAAAAAGCAATACAATTGAACACGTCATTATTTTTCAACAATACGTCATTGTTTCTTAGTGAGAAGAGATCCTTGATAAAAACTTTGTTTATGTCTTATTATTGTCGGTTAAATAGTACATTAATCACGAAAAAAACAATAGTTCAAACGTAATAATGTAGCTATAAAAATATGTATATAAAAATAAAAAAAGGAGTTAAGATTCCTGCCATATTGAATCGTGATGTCAAAAGGATGAAGAAATGACGCGTTAATTTTTATTATTATTTGTAAATAAGGACAATTTGGATAAAATGAAATGACAAAATCTCTTTAAATATAAAAAGAGACAATATAAAAATGGACAAAAGCTATCTTTATTCCCTCTGCCCTCCCCCTCTCTGATAGTCAGTAAATAATCGTAAAAAGTAATAAAAGGCACATGTAAGTGAAAACGAGCATTGCATAAAAGCATTTCACATACCTTTTATCACTTTTTACGATTATTTACTGACTGTCGTGGGAATAAGCATAGTTTTCGTCCATTTTTACTTAATTATTTTAATACGACTTCATTATTTTGTTTTATCCAAATTATCTTTACTTACAAATGAGACGTAATAAAAATTAATGTAACTACTCAAGAGCCTTAAGCGTATATGATATCGGAATAAAAAGAGCAACACGATTAAAGAGCTTCGATTTATCACATTCTTATAATCACGTGCTTTGCGGATGTAGACTAAATATTTGAAATCTAATTTTTACATTCAATTAATAGGCGTTTACTTTAAAAAAGAACAACGTACGCATACAGGTGTATCATTTAAAGTAACTTTCGCCTACATTATATTGGAATTTTCTCTCTTACGACTGATCAACTTCCTTTCGCTTGTATCGCAAATATCACGTTGTCATGTTGGTTCGTAATACAAATAATAGATTAAGAAATTGGATGTTAAAATTGCATAACAACGCGCGTCGCGCATCAGTGATAGGAAAAGTTGATGTTTTACTCGTCATCCGTTTTTAATTCTCAGATTTATGAAGATTATTTGCGGCTTATTTCCAGTTAAATTATACAACTGCGTATGAAAAATCATCTTCAGTATTTAAACACAATATAAAGAATACTTTTTCAGATACAGATTATCTAGAAGAGCGTAATTAAATCACAACTAATAATATTGGGAGTTAAAATTGATACCAAAAAAGATCTTTTATATATTTATATCTATATTTTATTTAGATAATTTTATTTATCTAAGATTTTTTGAACATTAACGATAACAAGTAACCAAATTGTATGGGCAAATCCTGATAAAAATTTTTCTTAGAATTTTTCGTAAATATATACATAAATATAAATTTTCTAAACTTTTACGTAAATTTCAAAATTTCTTAAAATTTCTGTATAATATTAACTTAATTTACAGAAAATTCTTTTATACGAATTTTGAGTAATTTTTTGGAGATGCGGAAAAAATGTATATTTTTTAATAGAATTATTCATATATATAAATTCCGAAGATTTTGAAGATTGTTTATTCTATAATTTTCGAAGGAATTTACAGAATCTAAAGAAATTTAATGGATATTTTTTTCAGAAGTCTTCACAAATTAAAAATATAATTAAATTCTTAAAATTAAAATAATGAATTTTTAAAAATAAAATGAAATTTTTTTACTAATGAATCATTATAAAAGTCATTTTACCAAATTCAATTGAGATGTTTATTTCACTTCTTTTTGAACAAGAATTAAGATATAAAAATGAGGAATATGTTAATTAACGTTAATTGAATGTTTTGCGTAATTCTTACATGAAGCATTACAAAACTTTCTGCATGCTTTAAAAGGTCACTGAATGCGACTCGATCTGGATTAAAAAGAATTACTAGTTACTTTCACTTCGATAAGAGAGCATAACTGCTATATCGTACTGTTCTTTCTCTGTTGTCAGCCTCTCTCGTTTATTGAATACATACGTCGCAGTCTGTATGCACCATCGATCCGTGAGCGTACTTTATATATCAAGCCACGTTGGTGATCACTTAGCACTTAGGAGAGATAACATCTTTCTCCGATGCTCATTTCATTGTGTTCTGATCATTTTCGTGTGCGTCGCGTCGATAAATAAATGGCTATTGTGCGTAATCGAAGAAAAAAAAACCAGACATCGCTTTATTACAACATCACGTTATCAAAGTGTTACGTTATCAGAATATATGTAATTTCTTCCAACTCCTCGTTCGTGAGTGTCTTTTGAACGGAATTATCGTCTGTCGATACGCATATTTCGTAATACTTCTAATAATATTCTTTTGGTCTAATTCTTTTTTTCTAATTTCAATCCATGCATTCTTTCCCTTTTCGTTATATTGTTTTTGAGCCATTAGGTACGTGGTAAGTCTTGTTCATCACAATCTTAAATTATTTTTCGTGAATTGTTATGAATTTGGAAGTGCTTGGTATTGGTACACAATAAAAAGAATTTAAAATAAATTCTTTTTTGTTTCTTTAATAGAACTGGGAAATTCCGTATTTTTGCACGAATTTTGCACTTCGCTCTTTAAGATGACAGGAATTATAACGAGCATTGTATCATAAGATTAAAATATCACTCATCTCTCTTGATTTATTTTCAAGCTGTTCAACTTTTACAACAAGCGAAGAGAAAACACTATTTCACCTTGTTTCAATTTGCGAACTTTGCGCTTGTATTTTTATGTATTCTTTTCAATAATTTTATTTTATTATAACACCTTCCGACTACTGTGAATTGTTTCTTGTTTATAATATTTTTATTAATTGTCATCTTTTATGTACTCTCTCTCTCTCTCTCTCTCTCTCTCTCTCTCTCTCTCTCTCTCTCTCTCTCTGATGATCAAATCTTGACCGAAACATCTACTTATTCATTTATTTGTGAATTTTAAATATATGACTTAATTTTACATTTATTGTTGTCGCTGTATGCTCTTTACTATTTATATTTCATATTGTTTTTATTCTTTTTTAAAAATTCCATACATTTTTTCTTTTTATTTTTGAGTTTAGACAAATAATTTTCGTCATACTGTTTTTTTTGTTTTTTTTTTTAAATTTTAATCTAATTTTTTCTCTTTTCTTTTTTGACTAGATATTGTTGCCCTGTCCACTACTTTCTGTTGAGACTGTTGCATTCGTTCGAACGTCACCCTTTCATTTCTTTCGTTACAATAAGATTAACCATAAAACAATGACGGAAATTTGATTGACCAGAAATTTGTCAAGGGAGGGGATTATTGGCACATCACAATCGAAATATTTTTTTTAATCAAATATGAAAAGATAGAATATTATATTATTATTTAAATTATTACATTGAAAAAGTATTGTTTAAATGTACAATTCGTTTTAAAATGTAAAGTGTTTTAGGTGATAAAGAGATAAAATATCAGCATAAAAACATATCTACACCGTAAATAAGGAGTATATATCGTTTTATTTATTAAAATGTTTTTAAGAACGAAAATTGCAAAATTCGTCTCTTTAATAGGCTTCGTAGCTTCGTGAAATATAAGCCAAAAAACGAGTTTCAAAAAATATTTCTTCTACAAGACTATACTAAGTAAAGAGTGCAGATATGTAGCTGTACCGCAAATGAGGTGTAAATGAGTTGACTTGTCACTCATTCTTCTGTCGACCTTTAAAAAAGTATAAAAACTGTAAAAAGCCCCTGAATTATCAATTGAAGGAGCTCTAGAAAAGATTTAAAGCGGAAAATACTTTAAACGTTACAACGCGCTAGCGACATTACGATCACGTGGACGAGTACGAGCGAGTACGAACCGTAAACGTCTCGCGTTTGCGCTTTGTATCGGCTCCGTCGCGATATCACGCGATCGCGTAATCTAGCGACTCGTAGCGGTCACGTGATAATAAATAGCCGGGCGTTCGGTTTCTGTAAATAGAATTTCAGGAACTGTGTCGGATCCAATCTCGCATAAGATAGAGACGTCTATTTCACATGTAGACATATCAGACGATTCTAGCCGACTCTGATCGACTCTAACCGTTACCGGCGGCTACCCATCACGTACGAAGGCGCAACACTTGCACATATACGACGCGCGCGCGCGCGAAGATGGCCGGGAATTGGTCAAGTTTAAATCGGCGCGGTTTTCAATTGGTCGAAAACCTGTTACGCGCCCGGAGCTCACATATAAAGGGCTTTGTAAATCAAAGACGCCTCGCAGACGCTGGTAATCTTTCATATAGTCGAGGTTATCATCTTTCTACCATCTGTTGCATTCCGAAACGAGTAAGTAATTTTGAATAGTTATTATTGATACTTTTGTTTGCGGGCTAACGATTGATGTGCAATTTGTTCTGCTATTGTCACCATATTATTATTATTCAATTATTATGGCTACAGAATAAAGAGATCCGTAAGTCTCTGTTCTACAGCGAATTAATATACGCTTGAAAAATTTGTCGCACAACGAAAAATGAATAGATGTAATATCAGCCTTTGAAAAGGCTGTATTTCGATATACTGCCAGTATTGAAAATCTACAGTTCATTTATGTATATCAGAACACGATCAAAGTCTGAAATCCGTTTTCGCGGAAAGCCGGTCGCTTTTTGATAGCCGATGATACTCGAAATTTATCAGATATTCGCGTGAAATCAATGCGAAACATATCTATCTATTATAAAACAGAGTTTCGATACTGTTTTGGAACGCAGCCTGGGAGCGATTCTGTAATCGCAACTTTCGTATAACTTTCGATGACTCGAGAAAGAACGTTATGAAGTGTTCTTTTAGCTTTGATTGCACTTGATTAACATTTTTCCAGTGCCGTAACTAAGCTGATGTGAAGTGGGAGGATCAGAGGGAACGATGAAAAACAGTGACAATTTATATTACATGTTAAATAAAATAAAATTTTCAGAAATTTTAGTCTGATGCAAAAATTCATTAAAATTTTTTCTTTAAATATAAATATTTCGTTAATACTCTAAACTTATAAAGAGAAAGAAATTAATTTTAATTTAATTTAATTTAGTTAAAGAAAAAAACAAAAAATTTTATTCAATCGTGCATCAGTCGCACAAAAAGATTAATTTTCCATTATTTGTAAAATGTTGATAAACGAATTATATTCGATTAAAATAACGGTTACATATGCATAAATGTGTTTATTACTGCAGTTACACCACGCGTGGGGTTATCATTGGAAGTGTGACCTTCTGAAGTATAAACAATATATGTATATATATATATCAACATCTATTTGTTACATTGCATATCAGTTTGCAATTGACACAACACGATCTTTTTTAAATTAAAAAAAAAAGTGCGAGTCATTGAATTTCTTTTACAATTCCATTGAGATTTCCTTAAATTTATCGCAAGATATTATGAGATCGAGAAAACAATATTGCAAATGTTTAATCAATTATTACTTAAATAAAAGTTGTAATTTTATAGCTGTATTCACATAATGTGTGATATTAATTATATATTAATTATATATTAAATATGATTCAAGTCTAATATAAATATAAATGATTAAAATTAGTTACAAAATATAAACTAAAAATTGTTATAATTCTTGATAGAGCATGGCAGCGATACTCAATAAAAGCATTTGGGAGAGCGATCCCGAGCTTTTCGATTTGATAAAGAAGGAGAAGATACGGCAGGAATCTGGGCTGGAACTGATAGCGAGTGAAAATTTCACGTCTCTCAGTGTATTGCAGTGTATGAGTTCGTGTTTACATAATAAGTACAGTGAAGGACTGCCTGGTCAAAGGTGAAATTACGTTTCATGTTATGTTGCTTTTACGAGCATTCACTCACATTCAGAAATGACTTTTTATTTTTATTGTACTACAGATACTACGGTGGAAATGAATTCATCGATGAAATCGAATTGCTGGCGCAGAAACGTGCCTTAGAAGCCTTTAATTTAGATCCTGAGCAATGGGGTTGCAACGTACAACCCTATTCGGGAAGTCCAGCGAATTTTGCAGTGTACACCGGCCTATTGGAGCCTCACCAACGTATAATGGGCTTAGATTTACCCGATGGTGGCCATCTTACTCACGGTAAATGCAAATAAATCGAATAAATACTGTATACAATATATATGTTACTGTTTAATAAATTGTGTTTGTTAATTAATCAATAAATTATAGGTTTCTTCACGCCAAACAAGAAAATCTCCGCTACGTCCATCTTCTTCGAATCGATGCCGTACAAAGTTGATCCTGTGAGTGGCTTGATCGACTACGACGAACTCGCCAAACATGCCAGATTATTTAAGCCGAAAGTCATCATCGCTGGAGTCTCCTGCTACAGTAGATGTCTGAACTACAAACGTTTCCGTGAAATTGCTGACGAGAATAACGCTTATCTTTTTAGCGACATGGCTCACGTCTCCGGATTGGTCGCCGCCGGATTAATACCCAGTCCTTTCGAATTTAGTGACGTTGTTTCGACAACTACACATAAAACCTTACGGTATAAAACAATGTCTTGACAATTTTTATAGCAAGTATTTAATATTTCTCTCATCGTAGTAATTAAAATAATGACGAGGTATCTTGTCTATTCAATTTTTCAGAGGGCCGCGTGCTGGCGTTATTTTCTTCCGAAAAGGCGTCCGAAGCGTCACGAAGGACGGCAAGAAGATTATGTATGACATAGAGGATAAAATTAATCAAGCAGTTTTTCCGGGTCTTCAAGGTGGTCCCCACAATCATGCTATCGCTGGTATAGCTACAGCTATGAAACAAGTGAAAACACCGGAATTCCTCGAGTATCAGAAACAAATAGTGATTAACGCGAAGAGATTGTGTGCCGGTTTGCAAGAGCGTGGTTATAAAATCAGTACCAATGGCACGGATATACATTTGGTGTTGGTAGATCTACGATCCTCGGGGATAACTGGCTCGAAAGCAGAAAAGATTTTGGAAGACATTTCTATCGCCTGTAATAAAAATACTGTTCCCGGTGACAAAAGTGCATTTAATCCTAGTGGTATCCGTTTAGGAACACCTGCAGTCACCACTCGCGGGTTAATCGAGAAGGACATCGATAAAGTTGTGGACTTTATAGACAGAGGTATTGTATTATTTAGGTAAACATTTGAACCTTATAAAAACTCGTTAGTGCTCAATGGTGACTTCAATCACTTGAGGTGCGTTTCGAATTTTGCATGAAGCGTCCTTTGTCCTTGTTCACCAAATAATAAAGAAGGATAATAACGTCATGCGCTTCATGCGCAACTTGGAACTCTGAACGCACCTAAATCACTAGGGCTATGTTCAGATTCCCATCTGAATGCCACTGTCACCCAGGTATCACTTCATCTTTGTTGTTTATCGTACGTTAAATAAGGATGATATTATATTTGGCGAGCAAAGAACTCGGTGAGAATCTGAACACGCCTTAGGATATTGTAATTTACATTTATTATTTTTGCATATTTTTATATCACAAGAATAGTTTCTGAGCGCCAACGAGTTAAACATTGTAAGTTAATTCTCTGTCGGCAATGTAAAATTTTCCTTCGTAATCTGGATCTTCGAACTTCAGAACAGATGTTTATATTATTCCGAATTATACATATAAAAATCTGAAAAAATTCTTACATACTTGTGAAATATTTAACGAGTTTTTACTATCAAAAAAGTCGGATTGTATTTTACTTATTTTATAAATTTATTTAACAAAGTTTACAATAAAAAAAATCGATTGTGTTTTTAAAATTTAACATTGCTAGCGTGGGGCGAGGGGCAGTTAAATGCGTATAGTATGAGACTATATATAATAAATTCAATATTATTTCTTTATAGGATTGAAACTTTCTAAGGAAGTGACTGCTATCTCCGGACCGAAACTAGTTGATTTCAAGAGAGTATTAAGTACCGATGAAAATATTAAAACAAAAATTGCAGATCTAAAAAAAGAAGTGGAAATTTTCTCCATGCAATTTTCGATCCCTGGTTACGAAACTTATTAAGCATTATGAAACATACAAGTTCAACAGTTCAATGTAAATATTTTATAATTTTTCATTGCCACTAATTATATATTTTTAAATAATTTATATATTTTTTTATGAGCAGAAATCAGAGAATGGAAATAACGTGTTACTTCAGTCAATTTTAATTTTTTTAAATTGATATATTTTTAGAGAATATATTTACGAATATAATATTTCATATAAATGTATTATATATATATGATTTTTTATTTTTCGTATAGAAACTATAGTATGAAAACAAATTACGTATTTTATGATTCAATAATTATTTCAAAAATATCAATACTATAATTACTAATATTTCTCAAAATATAGAACTGGTATTAAAATACAAATTGTATTATCTTTTATCCATAAAAAATATGTTACTGGCAAACCTGGAATGTGTGACGACCTGACAACATTTATCCTGAGTACAAGACTAATTGTCACATTTTCGCTTTATTTAGAATTAAATAACTTATTTATACGATGTGATGTATTCAAGAGTAATATTTTTTTAATACCTAAGGGATATATTATAACGTAGGGTTACATTGTAATGTATATAGTGTTTCTTACATCCACTTTTTCTCTTAAAAGTCATTAGTAAAAAACTGTGGCAACCGGCCTCGGTCTCCTCGCCGATAGAAAGACATGGTAGAGTTACATTAACTGATAAATAAGAAAAATTACATCACAGAAAAATATAAAGAACGCAGTATTTCGCTTGTAAAGTGAACCTCTAAAATTGGACTTTAGAGTGAAAATAAATAAAATATGTTTTTAACAGTACAATTTCATTTAAAAATTAATTCGGGAACCTCCAGACACACACACAGTCTGGACCTAGAATTTTTGGAAAAATTATAATTTTGCGGAATATATTCGGAATATATATGTATATATATATTTTTTAAATATGTGTAACGATGTGTGAATTGAGAGAGAGAGAGAGAGAGAGAGAGAGAGAGAGAGAGAGAGAGAG